TATTTTAACAATATTATATTATAACAACAGTTGGAATGGTTGATCTCAGTTGTGGCCACAACCTTTTAATATATAATACATTTCGCAATCACTCCGCCTTTACTAGCATTTGTATGCTATTTATTCATATTTCACAAATAGAATACATGTCTATAAGATATGCGGATTATAACATCTTCGTTAATGAAGCAAATCCAACTTGTTATGGATTTTTTTATCATTTTCACCGGTTCGTTCACCATATTATAGACCAACCTATTAATACATCCGTTCATGAACGGTCATGTCCATAAAAAAACGTATAGACGTATCTTTTTATGAAAAGTCACAACCTTCGAAGTGACATCCTTTCATTAAAGAACTAAACAATATAAATTTTCAAGAAAGAAAATAACCTTTCGAGAAAAGCACGCGACCAACTTCTGAATTGGTAGTTTCATCAACTAGTCTTCACTAAGACTGAATAACTGATGAATTCACCAACTATCATATCAATATCTACTAAAGATTTGTGGGGTCCAAAAAGTATATCATTTAATTCTTATAAATAATATAGAGATCAAGTCTAACATTAACTTTTGTCATGCATAAGTGAAGCACTACTACATTTTAAATATTTCATGTGCCTTTTCTATTATTCGTTATCAATATATCATCCACATATAAACACACAATGACTACATGAATTGGAGTAAGCTTAATGTAAACACATTTGTTTACATTCATTAATTTTGAAACTATTTGATAATATTATTTGGTCAAATTTCGCATATCATTGTTTGGGTGCTCATTTTAGTACATAAAGAGACTTCATACGTCTGCGCACCTTCTTTTCTTTTTCAGCACCCACAAACCCTTGGTTGTTCCATGTGAATTTTTTTTCTTTTTCAAATAACAATTTAAAAAGGTTGTCTTCACATCCATTTGAAGGATTCCAAGACCGTATACTGTAGTCAATGCTACTAACATTCATATGTACGTATTACTCGTAACCGATGAGTATATGTCAAAATAGTCAGACAACAAGTCTAATACATGTCAATAGTGCCATCATCCTTTATTTTCCTATTGAAAATCCATTTTGAATCCAACTAACTCCCAAGTATGGTTATTTAATATGGATTCTATTTCACTATTGACTTCTTCTTTCCGAGGGAGACATAACTTCTTTCAAAGTTTGAAGCTCATTTTCCAACAAGAATATCAGATCCAATGGAAGTAGTTATTCTTTGATGTTTACCACGTCTTGGATTCACCTCATTAAGTATACTTTTGGTTGCTTATTCCCGAGGTCGCATATATATTTTACTAGATGACTCACATTCCTTTTTATATGGATAAATATTCTCAAAGAATTTGATATTATCTAACTCGACTACCATTTTAATATGAATGTCAGAATTCTCTGATTTATGAACCAGAAAATGTATGCCTTACTATTTGTTGCATATCCTATGAAAACACAATCAATAATTTCCGGTCCGATTTTACCCTTTTAGGTTTAGGAACTTGCACTTTAACCAAGCACCCCCACACTTTAAAATATTTAAGTTGGGCTTCCTTCCATTCCATTTTTCATATGGAATGGATCGCGTCTTGCTATGAGGAAATCGACTGAGTATTCGCTTAGCTATAAGAATAACTTTTCCCCCACAAGTATGAGGTAAAACAAAACTTATCAACAATTCATTCATCATCACCTTTAACGTTCTATTTTCCCCCTACAATTCCATTAGATTGTGGTGACTAAGGGGCTGTCATTTGATGAATAATATCATATTCCAGACATATTTCTTCAAAAGGAGAATCACATTCACCACCCCTATTACTTTGTAGAGCCAACCACATGGACTCTTGTTTGTATCACGACAGAGCAAGAATTAATAAAGGGTGAGAAGTTAATAATCTTCAAATCGAGTAATATCTGACCCAACTAGATTTAGTAAACGGTGAAATTTTTAATCTTCAAACTGAGTAATATATGATACAACCAAATTTAAAATCTTCAAACCGAATAATAAATTGGAGTAGAAATCACTAAGATTTTAATCTCCAAATAGAGTAGAAAGTCACGAAGACTTTAATCTCCGGAAAATAAATAGAACGTCACGATGATTTTAATCTCAAATATTGAGTAGAAAATCACGCAGATTTTAATCTCCAAATGGAATAGAAAATCACAATTTTTTCCCCTTTTCAAATGGCTTCCCAACAAAACCATTATAACACTTAAACAGTTTGATCTCTTACTCCGATCAAACAAATATATGTACATCTTTATATATTATATTCATTATCTCAAGAATATTTTCAAGTATTAGTGTAAGCCTAATTCATATCTTACAATCTTGAAAATAATACCACATAATTTCATGGATGCTATCAAATTTTATACCAACTAATATATTCTATAACATGTAAATAAAATATACTTTGAAATCATCACGTGATAAACATCTATCCTTAAATTTATAGAAACTAAATTCATAAATCCCAAAGGACAGAAAATTAATGATAAAAACAATATAAGTTGAGTAAGAAAAAATAAAACCTGTTTTATTATCGCAAAAAGACTCTGATCTCTACCATCAATGTCATGATAGAGAAAACTTTCCAATTTACGATGCCCCCATTGATCATTAGACTCTTACTAGTGCATTGAAAATAACAAACTTATCCACGTGTTTTTGTTTCCTCCCTATCATAATTGCCTTTATCAGTGTGCAATTCCTGGAAATTATGGCGTTGAATTCCAAAATTTCTGGAAACAATTAATATGATTTTCCAACCGAATTACTATATAGATCTTCAAGCATCAATCCTGCTTCGGCTTTGTCAACAATTGTTGAATTCTATACTGCCATCCGAATAAGATCTTTTCGTGTTTCTGATTCCATAGCAGACAATGTCTCATTTCATATTAACCGACGAACATTTATAGACAAAAAATTTCATGTCATTCCTTCTCTGTTGGGATTAGGCATTATGCCATGGATCCTTTTCGCCTTTGCTTGAAATTGTATTGGGGTTTCATTTTCCAGAAAGCAAATGACTTTTCAGTTTGCAAAGGATTTTTCCGTTTTTTCGCTTTCTTCGTAGAAGAATGCAGACCAATCACATATTGTTCATCTTAATTTCTTTTATCATCCGATAAAATATTCTCTTCCTTGTTTAGTCTCCACCAAACAAATATTAAGATAGATCACAAGAATATATTAAAATTCCCTAAGATTGTTAGTAATATGTGTTATAAACTAGAAAATCGGAGAAGCAAAGAAGTGTTAGTTCAATAAACAAATCGTAAAATAATTCCAAGCCCACGAGTTGCTTGTGTGTCCTTAAGGAATTTAATCCCCTCACTGTTGCCCAAAGTTATGAATTACTTCCTCACAGGATAAAACAGAATAACTATTTTGTGATAGTAACACTTCAAATCACAGAATTTCGGTGAACTTAACAAACGGAGCACTTATTTTTATTTTGGAAAAACAATGCAACAATGTAGAAGAGAGGAAATTTTTTCAGATTGTTCATTTATAAAAATGAGGTCAAGTGTCTAAATTTATAGACAATGAAATGGTGAGGTGAAGAGGTGCATCTTTCATTTCTCATTCACACCCTTTAGAGAAAAAAATTCAACATTTGGAGCATTCGAATGAAGTGACATTCAAGTGGATTTTGCTCCAACAAAGAGGGTTCAAAATGTTACGCACATGGAGCCCGTTTGGACATAAGAATTTTTTTTACTTTTTTTTCCAAATCAGTGTTTGGTCATAAAATTTTCAATTTTCACTTGAAGATGCATTTTGAAATTTTTCGAAAATTTGAAAAACTCCAAAAAGTTGTTTTTCAAAATTTCACTCAGATCACTCACAAAACTTCAAAAACAAACCAAAATTATATTCATGTCCAAACACAACTCTAATTTTCAAATACCATTTCACTTGAATTTTTTTTTTCCACTTAATTTTTTGGAATTTTACAATTCTTATGTCCAAACGCCCACCTAGTCCCATCTAGTTGGACTTAAAAAAATCTAATAATATTAACTCAAATAATTAGTTTGAGTTATTATGTGTTGAATTTAGAGTGTAGTTCATTTGTATGGATTTTATCCATGAAAACTTTAATGTCTACCTAAGCAAATGATCCATGCATGTGATGCTAACTTATTTGAATTATGATTAGTCGTGGTTGTTATTATACTTACAATAGTAAAGTATTTGCTTGAAGTTGTTTTTTTGGCTAAGGTCATATGTGTTTAGTTTAAGTGTAACACTTGAAGAACACCAAATTTTAATTTATAGTATCTGTGCTTTGCCTTAAAGATAAACTTTAAATATTTGCTTAACAAGCATGGGTATAGCAAGATTGAGAAAAAAACTAGTATGACCAATCGCAATTACGTCTTAAATTGAGGCACTCAAAAGCGGTGTTATGACATATGGTCAGAGTAATCCACTAGGTAATTACCCTCTTGAATATTGCAATCATTAAAAGAGTAATCCTATTTATTTCATTTTTCCTTTTTGTAAATAAACGACTAAGTTCAGTGTAGAGCAAATGAGAAGAAATAATTAATATACGACACAATCAAATTAGATCATCAAAATCTGGAATCATTAGTGATTAAACAATAATACAACCAAAAAAAGACAATAAACTCAGTCAGTAATATGGACAAAAATTAGCTTCAAAGCGTTCTTTAATTAGGTCAAAAGTAACTACAAATCACCAACTTAAAAGCTGACCAATCCCAAACATAATCAACGGTTATAATTAAGCTGTCACATTTATATAAAACCACAGCCTGTACATATAGCGGTCCCTCAAGGGAATACCCTTCCCCTTTTTAAGTGGTCAAAAAATCCGATCGCAAAATTCTAATTTTAGTGGTCAGCAACTTCTCTTTCTAATCTTCGCTAAACAAAAAATATTTAGAAAAGAATATATCCAAAACTTATTTGTTAATCAATGAAAATAATTTAAAATAAAATAAAATAGTTGAAATAATTCAGGTGCCATTCAATGGAACTATAAATTTGAGCCAAACGACTCTTTCACATCTAGTTGTAGGGTTGTTGGTTGTTGCCATTCTTTCCTCTTCTTACTCGTTCTCTTCAATTGAAGCCACACACACCCAAAAAAAAAAAAAAAAAATTAATCCTTTTTTTTGTGAATTTTCAGCTAACCTACGTAAAGCTAAAGCTGGCTAGTAGAAGGTTAGATCTTCTAATTCTGCTTATTACTGTTGATCCTTTTTATTATTGATATGTTTTTAATTCTTATTTGAGTTTGATTTAATGAAAGTTATAAAGTGGGATTTGCTTGTTTATGCTTTTGAATGTATCTTAAGGTTCATATAACTGATCCCAACTAGTTCGGGATTTAGTCCTAGTAGTAGTTGTTGATGTAGATGTTGTATTGATATTTTTCCTGGGCGTGGTGCTGTTTGAAAACTCGGTGTATAATGAGTCCGCCCTCTACTTTAATATGGAAAATGTGGTATACAATTCGGAATTTTGCTTTTACTTGAATTGGAAATGTTATTGAAAGAATATATATGAAGTTTGTTGTTGTTTGATTCCGTGGTCCGGTATATTGTACTGTTATTTAAGTGTTAAGGAAGAAAATACATGCAGAATCTATGTTGTTTGGTTATATACAGTGGCGGAGCCAGTATTTTCATTAAGGGGAGTCAAAATATAAAGAAACAAACTCACCAAGAAGTCAAGGGGTGTCATTATATAGTATATATACATATTTTTTTAAAAACTACCGAGCTATACAGTGTAATTTTCCGACGAAGGGATGTCGGTTGACACCCCTTGGGTGCATGTGGCTCCGCCACTGGTTATATATGTGACATTCCCTTTCTGCTGAACTTTGTATTGCTTCCAATATTGAATTATACTGGCATGATATGGATGCCTTAGTGAACCATATTCAATGTTCTATGGATATGGTCTTGTAAGATTTATATGTGCCTTGAAGTCCTACTCCTTTTTTCTTTTGGATTAGAATCAAAATGATTGATGGTATATGACCTGTCGTCTAGTACATGGATTTTTAGAGAACTAAAGGGAAAGTGTATATAGAATCAAATTTCGAGTTTCGTTATACCAAATTGATTTCGAACTACTTGACATGATATCTTGCTCATCTCTTGGTTTCAATTTTTGTTCATCTCAGTTTCAGCTTCTTTTTCTTATTTAACAGGTCGGTATCTTTGAGGTGTAGCAATCATTGGGTTCTTCTAGATTTTGACGTCTTCTTCCAGTCTGGCCGCTGTAACAACTTCCTGCTTTTCTCGCACCTCTAAGCAGGTGTGGGGCAAGGACGAGGGGCTGATATTACTATGTGTTTTGAGGAGATCAATATCATCTCATATCTGGAGATTGTGCCGTGTCTCAGCAGGGCTCACACTTGATTATGGCTAAGATTGGCCTATGCTAAGTCTTGCAATCATGTGATCTTATTTGCTGAAATTCTACTGATTATTGATTTAGTAAATATTAGATTATTAGAGCTCTTCGATATCTCGAAAGTGATTAGATCTCATGTGAAGGATTTTTTTTCTTTTATAAAGATGTTTAGGTTTTCATGCTTCCCAGCTCACATCCATTCCCACAAACAAAAGGTTAGAAAATAAATATTCTTGGATGTTATGAACATAGTTACTTCTACTTTTTTGCATAATTTAAAACTGTTGCTGATTCTATGTTCCTCTCTAATTAGAAAACAGCTCAATTTTCTGCCGAAGCAATGCATAAAACACTTGAAGATTGTTCTCAGAATCATGCCATGAAGGGTTTTGCTTACTTGTCGACAGCTAGTGCATCATGTGCAGCGGAGAGAGATGCTCTCGAGAACTATGCCCATCATGCTTCCGATTCTTCTCCATTAGAGCGTGATAATAAATCTGAGAAATTCAAGAGCAAATCTAATACTGAATCTGAATTAAAAAGAATTAACAATGCGCAGATGAGGAAGAGTTTATCTTTGGGTTGTGGTTTGAATTTGGAAGGAAGAGTTGTCAGTGGTAATGACTCAGAGCATGAGAGTGGTAGATATTCTTGTGATGAATCAGATGATCGTTGTGGATCTGCAAGTGCAGATGGTGGGAAGGAACTTAATATCAGCTTGCTTGATTTATTTCACGAAGCTGGACCTTCTGATTCTGTTCAAGTGAACTCTGATTTGGCTAACAATGAGTCAATATTTTCAATTGGAGATGCAAAAGAGTCAGGAAAAGGCGGACAAGAGAACTATGAGGTTCAGTTGTCTAATGCAAATGAGTCTGCTGACCATTCACCACGTACTACTCGTAGTATTGTAAAATCAAGTTCATTGCCTAACATTCATTCCCCAGGTCGACGATTTAGCCACAACTTCAATCGTGCCAGATCTGCTGAGGACTTAAACATTTTAGATGCAAGACAGAAAGAAAATTTCATGGATGAGGTAGCAAACAAGATGATGAAACACAAAGAAAAAGAAGATAGTTTACGGAATAATGAAAAGGTTAATGATGAAACCTCACCTGATGACAATTTTGATACGTATAACTATGTTGGCTCAGCCAAGGACTGGATACTACCCGGGATCGATGAGGTTAACATGAAGAAGAATATTAATGCAGAATCTACATTTTGCCGGTGGAATGAATTGACAGGCAAGGATTTTAAGACTAAACGAATTGAGGAGTGGGTCACAGACCTTCAGCATTGTGGCAGATTTGATGAAGCAGATGACTTTTCTGTGCCTGACAATGGTCCCGAAGTGCAAAAAGGTAAAGCTGTCTTGGATGCTTCTCCTGTTGCGAAGTTAGACGGTAAGGTCAACCCTGGTGCAGAAAGTGTTAAGAAATATATCTCTTCACTGAGTGCCAATGCCACGTCAGCTCAGCTGGTAAATCATGGGTTGGTTGTGATTCCATTTCTCAGTGCTTTTGTGAGCTTAAGAGCACTTAACTTATCTGGGAATTCCATAGGTTTGTAGCTCATACTTTCTGCTCCTATGGATTTGAGTTCACCTTTTTCCTCCCCTCCCAGTCGTCGTATGGTTAGAGCTCTGACAGTTATCTTGCTTCTACTTTTTTCCGCAGTGAGGATAACTGCTGGTGCTCTCCCTCGAGGGCTTCATGTTTTGAATCTGTCCAGGAACAGTATCTCAGTTATAGAAGGATTGCGTGAACTTACACGACTTCGTGTTCTTGACCTGAGCTACAATCGACTAATAAGAATTGGACATGGTATGATTTTTTCAAGATGCACTATGAAATTGGTGGTAGACTTTCTTTGATGTAGACATGAGTTATCTCTTAAAGTCCTAATAACTTGGTCATTAAGTTGATAGACGAAGCTCTTTTATTCGTCTATGTGAATGAACGTGCAACTTTTGTAGAAAAATGCCACTTGAAAGGATACTTTGCAGTGTAAGGAACTTCAAGGAATAATTGCTAATATCATGATGAATGTAGTAACCTGTATCGCGTATGAACTTGACATGTCTAGTTTGCATAATATCCAAGATCTGGTGCATTAGCAACTTTATTTGAATGTTCAATAAAATGAAAAATGCTTTACAAGTTTAGCCACAGGTATAGCATGAGTTAGCTGGTTCTTTGCTAAATTATCTTTGTTTGCAGATTTTCACAAGTCCTTACATTTATTTTTCTTTTGAGTCATCTTGCCATTTATATACCTCTCTGAAAGAAAGTGATGTAGCACCACTAGGAGGGAGGGATAATTGGGAGGAGAACAGAGAAAAAGAGGAGTAAGCGAGGGGATCAACTCATAAAATGTTATTCATCAATTGAAGTGCCTACCAATGTACAAGGAGGGTCCTATTTATAGGTTGGGAGCCTTGCCCAAGGTAGAGTCTTAAAACAATGTAAACTTTACCTCTAACTAAGAGATAAAGATAAAAACAAATAAATGATAAATATAAAATCAACAAAAGATAATATAAAAATGTAACCTAATCTAGATAATGATAAGGAGAAAATCTACTCTAGAAGATAATAGCCTAATAAAATAAAATAAAGTACTTATTATCCTTTTCTTTAAGGATTTACATCAGAAAGAACACAGAGTTGCTGCTTTGATCCACTTACTGAAATCTTCTTTATTGGCAAGGTAATCAAAGCTGGCAATTCAACTTAATAAAGCTAAGGTAATATCTTACTGACTAGTTAGGTACTGCTTCCATCTCAAATTAGTGCGAATCATCCTTTTTCAGGTCAATCAAAACTACTGACCACCTTGCTAGTGAACAGAACATTGCATATTATACAATAGAACAAGCCAGATTGGACTTAGTTGTTTACTTCTCTATGCTGTTTCCTTCTTTCATTTTTATTTCAGTACGATCAAAAAGTAAGTCATGTGACTGTCATTAGCCCTTTTTTCTAATGATAAAACTCTCATTATCACCCAGTTTAGATCGAACAATTCTTTTTCCTTCAAGTAGGTAAAGATTCTCCAATTTATGGCCTCTTCTCTGTGGTACATTATCACCTAAGTACAAAGAATAATTTCTTGTTCAACTCGCTTCTTATCAAGTGTGCTGAGTCAAATAGATCATCCATTCAAGTCGGTGCTGAGGGGCCATATATGTAGAGCTTTAAGTTATCTTTCTTTTGTTTATCAATAATTTTTCCCTTTATGTTCTTCATCCTAATATGGACAATTTTGCTTGTAGGTCTTGCTTCTTGTTCTTCCTTGAAAGAGCTGTACCTAGCGGGGAATAAAATCAGCGAGGTTGAGGGTCTTCACCGCCTCCTAAAATTGAACGTCCTGGATTTGAGATTCAACAAAATATCTACAGCCAAATGTCTGGGCCAACTTGCAGCTAATTATGGTTCTTTACAAGCAATCAGCCTGGAAGGGAACCCTGCCCAGAAGAATGTTGGTGATGAACAACTGCGAAAATGCCTACAAGGCCTTCTTCCGAATCTCATTTACTTCAACAGGAAACCCGTCAAGGTGAAGGACACAACAGATAGATCTGCTAGATTAGCCATTGGTGCTCATCAGATAGATCGAGGTCTCAAAGCGGACCTTAAGGCTATGCGGAAGGCAAGCCATAGTGCTTCCACGCACAAAGCATCATCTTCATTGACCCATGGTCGTAAAAGTCAACCAATGACCACAACAAAACCATCCAAGATTAGACCCACCCGCCTGCCCCCTAGTGGAATTAAAACTAGTTCACGGCAACATGTCTATGAATTCAGCAGCAAGCTCCTTAGCTTCAGACCTGACCTATCTATGCGCAGGAGCCGAAGCGAGGGAACTCTTGGTGTGATTTGAGGATCAGACTTATCAGGGAGAACTGTCAACTTATGATACGTATGACGCGGTCTTCCTGTTTCAGTGTTTAAACTGGTATAGTACCTGGGCGTATTTGTCCCTTAACCCTCCCACTATATTTAGTTTCCTAGCGACGATCTGCAAGGCAGCCTGCGCATGCAAACTTCAGTTGTCTTGTGCCTTTATGTGCCTTTCAGTATCCAGATTTTAGTTCTATGCTTTAGCTGTTATTAGATTGTTTTTTAGGACAATGCAACTGTGTGGTATTATTTGCTAGCGTTGTGTGTGGGTGATGTACCATAATAATTTGGGTACAATTAAGAACATTGTTTCTCAAATTGGATGCTGAAGTGTGTTGTTTTATCATTTGGTTTTTAATCCTCCATTTTTGACTGTCCCAAAAGCTTTTTATATACTCGGCTGTTTGTATACGTGGTTTAAAGGGGCAAATATCTTCAAAAATAAATGCAAATTACATGTCCGAGTCTTCAACTATTGCAAGTAGTATTAAGGCAACTCAGTGCTATGTATAAAATAAATATTGGAATTTAGCATACGCTACGAAAGTATAATAGCCATCTTGTTACAAAGGAAAAAGAGGATAATAACCATTACTATATATTTTACCAACAAAGTATCGGATAATTCGATCAATCAAAACTTGAATAGCAAGAGTTGTACCTTTCTCACAATGGTGTAACGAGTAGGTAACACTACTTTTAACTGGAGCAGAAGAAGCAACAAATCCACAAATGGAGACCTTGACTATTAGATGAGGAACATGTTACTATAGTCAATTTGGTTGTTGACACATTTTATCACTTGAAACTATATTGAAATAAATTACTTTTGTGGTAACGTACTTTTTTGGTCTCAAAATCAAAATACACTTCTAAACTTTTTCACTTAACGCATGACAAATACACAGATTTAGACATATACTTCTAGGATGTTATGAAATGTATAATCATGTGAAATATGTTCTACCTTAAAAACTATTTTCTAGTAGAATGTGGAGATGAAGTATGGTCAAGTGTTCTCTTTTTTCTGTTAAGTATTTTAGTCTTAACCCGGACTAATTTGAATTTGTATTGGGTAACGCTAATAAAGGGGAAAGCCGCTCCTTATTAGATTTTTTTTGTTTTTAATACTTAAACTAAGACCTCTTGTTAATAGTAAAAGGATCGTGTCCGTTCCATTCTAAGGTGGCTGCTCCAATAGATGACAATTGACATAACCTATTTGGTAAATATCATTTTATTTTAAAAATTTTCAATAAAATAATAAATTGAAGGGCCTCCGTGTACTTGCCAGCTGGGCTAATTTCCCAGTGGGCCAACTTTGGTCTGGGCTTACCCGCCAAAAATATGGTGTGAAAAAAAGAAGAGGGAAAAAGGGAAAGCTGAAAAAAGAAAAACAAAAAGAAAAGGACCCTGATACTATACAATATATATGGTGGTGTCAGTCTGTGTATCTTCGTGTGGGTTCCAGCTAAAAAATAAATATCTCATGTAGGCTACATTTGCAATTTACAGAAACATTCGAGGCCACATAATAATTTTTCACACACCAAACTAGGGGTAGAAATGATATTTCTTAAACATTAGGGGGCTCAATTGAGAAGTACAAAAATGTACAGAGGGGGAGAGAGAGAGAGAGAGAGAGAGAGAGAGAGAGTGAATCGTTGAAGAACCCTAATCTTGAATCGTGAACTCCACTCTCCTGTTTGCCTCTCTCTGTATATGAAAACGCCGACTCTTAACTACCTCTTCACTCCCACCATCTTCCACCACCCACCCCTCTTTTAACCCTCACCGCCTCTCTCTCTCTTTCTCTTCTGTGGAACTTTTACTTAGACGATCAGTCTTCTTCTGCCGTTACAGGTACTTTTAAAAATCTTGTTGTTCTGCTTATGTCAAAGATCAACTCTTTTCTGTAAAGAAAACTGGTAAAACTGGTACGCTGTTCTTTTATTATATTGATTCGTGTTTTATAATTTTTTTTAATGATTTTCCATTTTTCATCGCTACTCAGTGCAGTTTGCAGTTTAAGCACCGTAAGTGGGCGGCCTGAAGTGAAGATATTCAAATCTAATTAGGACTGAAGTGGGGTTTCAAATTATTACGGTTTTGTTGTCTTCACTGATTAAGGAAAAAAAAGGAGTTATGTCGGTTAATTAGCATTTCTTGAGGTTGTTTGGAAAATAACAGGACTTGAAGTAGTTTTTTTTCTTTCTTTCCGAAAATGAGCAAGATTTTGGGTATAGGAGATTAAGAATAGGTAAATATTAAAGAAAATAACTTTGTACTTGCATGTGTGAGAAATTGCAAAAGTATCTGGAATACTTAAGTTTTGGTAGTAACAGCAGTGAAGAAAAAAACACGAAGAAGAACGACACCTCGATCCCAACCAAGTTTGGGTGGGAACAGTAGTGAAATAGGGGGAAAGATTGGTTCAAGGGCAGGGGTACTGCCTTGTGAGGTGCGAGCACTGATGCCTTCAGTAGGGATGAGAAGGACTACAAGGGTTTTTGGGGCGAGGGTTTTGAGGTCAGGAAGGCGGTTGTGTACCCCAGGTGAGGAGGTTAAGCGGGCGAAACATGGAAATGAGTGGATTGAGCTTCTTGACAATGTAGGAAGAGATGGTGGTGGTGGTGGGGCCACTAAGTACAAGGAAAACGGGTGGCTTAAGAAGGATAGTGCTCTGAAGCAAGAAACTAACCAAGAAATGGATATTGATGTAGAGAGTAAGGCAACAGCTGAACCGGAGGCACTGATCATTAGTCCGAACAGCAATAGTTTTAGGAGGTGGGGAACTGTATATACGAGGAAGAGGAGAAGACATGAATCCGGGAAAGGTGATACGGTAACAGAGAGCAAGAGGTTTGGCAAGCACTTCGTTAGGAAGAAAAGAGTTAGGGCAGCTTATGCTAAGGATTCGGATAAATCTGAAGAGGGTCAACTATCAACTGGCATTGTTATTGTAAATACATCATGTGGAAGCAATTACTGGGTTTCCTGCCTTTTGAGTTGTGTTTTAAGGTACTTGAGGAAGTCAACTGTTAGTTTGCAGCAAATCTTTGGATTCATTAACTCAAAACCCTTGAGGGACGTTTCTTCGTTGCACGGTATCCTCCTCTTACAGGTATTATTTTGTCACTACTGCTTTACCAGACATTCATTTGCTCGACTTTTATGGCTATTGGACCTTAGCCTTTATTTTTTTCCCCATTCCTTTTTTTTTGTCCTAATTTTTGTGAGGTTTACTAACCTTGTTGTTATTCATGTTTCTGCAACTTCAGGATCAGACTCCCAGAAAATTAAACACCGGAGCTTGCTTTATTGCTGGTGGCACATGCTCGATTCCTGTTTTTGCACTGGATTTTTCTACAGTCCCGTGTTGCTTTATGTACCTGCACTCAAGCATGCTTCTCAGATTTATTCACATGTCCTATGCATTGGTCATGTATTCTACAGTGTTGGTTGAGGAAACTAATGTGGCTAGTGAGAAGGAGATGGTATCTTGCCTTGTCCCTGTTTATAATCAACCTGGATTGGATGTATCCGCGTCTGGAATGTATGATGATTCCAGGGAGATTGCAGTGGTGCACCCAACTGTTGGAGTTCCTAAATTAGCTGCCCACCACTTGCAGCTAAGGAACAGTAGTGGTATTCAGAAGAGGAGAAGCTCTTTGAGTTCAAGAAGAGGCAGACGTTCTTGCTTTGGCTCACAGGATGTTATTGGTGCTTTGGCTTCTGACAGATTGAGGTTAAGACGTAATGGCCTCCGATTTTCGTCTCGTACGTCTCGGTATGAACTTAGGAGTTCAGGTCAGAAGATTTCCACACCAAGCATCAAAGAATTAAAATCTGCTTTGGTGGAATTGACGCAGGATATAGATGCAACAAGCTGTTCTGCGAACATATTGGTTATTGAATCAGACAAGTGTTACAGGCAAGAAGGAGCCACCATTGCTATGGAACTTTCTGGTTCAAAACAGTGGATTTTAGCAGTGAAGGTAGGTGGAGTAAGGAGATTCAACCTCACTGCTGAGAAAGTTATGAGGCCTTGTAGCGCCAACCGTGTAACTCATGACATTATATGGGTCGGGGATCGTGGTTGGAAGCTAGAGTTTCCAGATAGGCGAGACTGGTTGATTTTCAAGGAACTTTATAAAGAATGTTCTGATCGCAATGTACAGCCCCCTGCGTTAAACATCATTCCTGTTCCTGGTGTACGTGAAGTATCAGGCTATGCAGAGAGCAATCCTGCTCAGTTTGCTCGTCCGGATTCATACATAACTGTTAGAGATGATGAGCTGACAAGGGCATTAGCAAGGAGTACAGCATGCTATGACATGGATTCTGATGACGACGAGTGGCTAGAAAACATTAATGATGAACTTTTTTCGGAAAACAAGCATCTTTCGGTTGAGAGCTTTGAGATACTGATTGATACTTTTGAGAAAGGCTTTTATTGTAATCCAGATGATTATTCTGATGAGAAAGCGGCTATCAATAGTTGCCTGGATAAGGAAAAGAAAGAAATTGTTGAGGCTGTGTATAGTTATTGGTCCAAAAAGAGGAAACAAAAGAGGTCTTCCCTGATAAGAATTTTCCAGGTAAAAGTGTTATGCTTCAATTGAAGCGTTTTTCTTGCCAACAATATCTTTGGAAGCATGTATTCTACTCCTAGTTTTTAACTTACACAAAGTAGTAGTAAAATTGTTTATACACAGTACACTCGTGTTTTCCAACTATTGGCCTTTCTATCTGGAGTATGGATTTTTTTTTAGTTCTCTTTTTTCTTTTCCTCGAAATGGAATTTCTGTTTACTTCTCCTTGAAGAAGTTGATATCCACATGCATATTTCTTAGGTGAAGCAATTTCAAAAAGTCACAAAAGCTTCTTTTGTTCCATAGCGAAGTTGTGTAATGACGAAGATGACCCATTTTTGTCATCATTTCGGCATAGTTTTCAATGAAAAGAGAATACACTAGCCAATTGGATCAAGTGACTAGAGCTTTGGACTAGATTGTCTCTTGATGTTTTGCAATTAAGATTCACCAATCTGACAAGGGAGGGATAGCCTTGTGATAAGGCTCTTCACCGATGGAGCAAAGTGGGAAATGTCCACTGTTGGACTCTTGGATAGGGGGTGTATGGGGTGGGTTTAGAATATCCCTCCCCCAGATAAAAGAAAAGGAACAAGAATGTATTCACCTATTGGCGTTGACCTTGATGAATGGTTTATGAGCAAGCAAAGGAATTAAATAGATGTCTTATCGATTGCTGTTTTAACCATAATCAAGGCTGAATTCTTTGTAGGAAAATTTTCAGCTGCAATATTGCCAGACAGTAATTCTTAGGGGAATATAAACTTTTTGTTCCATTAAAATAGAAAGCAAAATGAAAAAGAAAGAAAATAAAACAACAAACCTTAGCACTGGTGTCTCCTATTAAAGAAAAAAGGAGAAAAGGCACTGGTATTTGCGGTTAAATATTAGCCTTGTCATAATTCTGAACATATTTCATCACTTGGGATAATTTGCAAGTGTCAGTGCATCATCTGCTACTTTATCCAAATTATCGCTATCTGAATGTTACAATGCTGTTTCCTGACAGTGTTACCAGCCAAGGAGAACTCAGGTCATACCAAAATCTATTCTCCGCAAGAAGAGGTCTTTCAAACGACAAGGAAGCCAAGCCGGAAGAGGCAAACATCGGCCATTTCTACAAGGTGTGTAGTCTGTGTGATTTGGTATCAAGAAGTCTTGTTGTCCTATTATGTGATCTGCACTGTGTTAACAAGGATTCTATATTAGATCCGTTGTCAATGGCCTGGTTTAGACTAAGTCGTTCCCATGTGAATGTTCGTTCATGGACTGTAATTTACAGCTTAACAAGGCTAGTAATAGGTTGCTCTATACAGCATCTGCTATTACTTATAGCTTGGATTTTTTCACTTGATTGAAGACTAATATGAAATTTCGATGACAGCAATGGTGAGTGAAAAAGATACTTTGCAGCGACAGAACTCAGTTCTTAAGGTGCAAGAAGCTAAAGCTGCTGCAGACAAATCGGAGGATTTGGCAGTTAGGCTGAGACAAAGGGCTCAGCAGCTGATGGAAAATGCTGATCTAGCAACTTACAAAGCCGCAATGGCACTTAAAATAGCTGAAGCAGCTAAGATTGCTAAGTCTACGAAAGGTGTTGCGCCGTTTTTCATAGGTTAGAAACAGTGTTATATTGGTTTTTCAGAATTACATAGTTGAAATGGCCAATTTTTCCCGAATTGAAATCGGAGGAACACAGCCTCATGGCCTTTTTTAGAGAAGCCTGTGGAGGTCCATCTTTTAAAGGATTTAATGTAACTTTGTGTATAGATTCTAATGGATGTACATTCTGTATCATTATTCTTAGATGTTAGCTTAGATAGATGTGTACAAGGAAAAAAAGAGGGTTTATCCATTTGTTTCAAGGAAACCATATAGAAGCAAGACAAGTATACAAGATTTTGAGAGCACGGTTTCTGCAACTTTCGTTTTTCTTCTTTCGTTTTCTGTTAATATTTTGTTTTCTAGACCATTAGGCCGTTTTGATACCGTTTCATGTTTGGCTGTTTGGTCGTCTTTTGTTCGTTACAATATTATTTTAATCTTCTGAGTTTTGTGTATCCTCGACGGTTTTGGAGTGATAGACGTGATGATTTATTGTGGGTTCTTTCTTTTTTCGGTCAATATTATTCTAATCTTTGGACTAAATCTTTTAACATTTTGATGCGCCTACGAGTTTTCTAGCAGAAAAACAGCATTTTTCCCCAGCAAGTGAAAGAAATTACTTTAAACTTTTCCATTTGGTCATTCTTCCCGTTGTTCAAACATAAATCTATTTTTTATAATTATTATTATTATTATTTAATCTGCCCCCCCCCCCCCTCCCCCCCCGCCCCGATTCCCCTTTGTTGGAGCTATTGCTCCTTTGGTGACTCGAACCCACAGCTAGGGCTGTCTTAGGGGAGGGTATTACCCGTACCCTTCTCGGTCTGTACCGGCACCCGTACCACACCGTACCGGTCCGGATTGAGGGTAAGGGTGAGGGATTTGGATAAAGGGTAAGGCTAAAGGAAGGGTACTGGAAAAAATACCCTTAGTACTGGTCCGGTTAGTACCCTTAAGGTACCATACCAGTCCGTACTTGTACCCGTATAGGTACTCTTAAGTTTTTTTTTTTAAATTTTAAAAATGGATGTTTTGCACCGTTAGCCAACGATTATTTTTTTAAAAATAGCCGTTGGCAACGGCTAAAAGAGATTATTTTTGCCTCCCTAGCCCCCTTAACACCACCCCCACCCCAATTTATATTTTCTAACCTCTAAGTTTGTTCAAATACACAAAAACCCTATTTTAAATCTATAAAGTCTCCATTTTATTTTTTCGATTTTCACACAAAACTCTCATATCTCTCTAATTCTATCTCTCTCTATTTCTAATTGCAATTAACGTTCTAACACTCATATTAATTTTCGCATTTATTTTGTTATACTTGTGTTGCTATTATTGTAATATTAATTATTTATTACTAAAATGCCTCCTAAACTGGTAAAAAAATGTGTAATAGATTGACTAAGAATAATGCTAAGAGGGGGGAGGGGAGAGGGGGGGGGGGGGGTCTTTGTTTAGAAACAAGTCCTAGTTAGTCCGGGTTTAGGCATTACATACAAGAAACCTATAATCCTGCTTTTCAAGGTTTTCCTAGAACAAGGGTTAGAAATAACGCTTGCGATGATGAAGGAAATGAAGACTTGATGAAATATTGAAAGAGAAGAAACTTTGACCTTCCAGCAATAATTCAAGAAGACGACGATTTGGTAAATTTAACTTTATTTTAATAAGTATTGAAACAAAAAACATTAAATTTATTTTATTCATTAAAGTTTGTTTGTATTTAAATATAAATTTTTTATTTTTGATTTTAAAGTAGCCCTCAGTACCGGTACCGTACCCTTACGACCGGTAGGGTACTGGTAAGGTGCTCGTAAAAGTACTCTTACCCCGTATCTTTAATTCTCCTTAAGAAAAATACCCTTAAGGAACCCTCCCCTTGCCCATCTTGTTCCCGTACCCTTAACGCTTAAGAACTATTACCCTCCCCTTAGACAGCCCTACCCACAACCCTGGGGTTTTAAATCGTATTCTCCATTGCAGTGCAAAGCGCGCGAGGGCGCTCTCTCTCTCTCTCCAATTTGGAGACTCTTTGATCACTTTGTTGAATTGCCACTAAAGGAAATTCTTTCCCTTTTATAAATAAGATAATTGAAGAGAGCATAATTGTATTCCTTAAAAGTTTAGGGAACGAACTGAATTTATACGTCTTATTAGTACCTCTTTCATTAGTTTATTTCGAGAAGCCAATCAATCAAGATAAAGGAAACTGGTTTACTATCAGTCCTTCACAAATACCACTATGACTTCCAAAAGGACTGTCCCCTGGCACTTATTTTTCAAATCTGACCTTACTACATGATTATTCGGAGTCTGTAACTAAGCTCCAACGAAATGTTCAAATGGAAAAGCTTTTCATTTTCTTTTTCTTCTTTTTTCTTTTAAAAAGTAGATAACCATCTACTTCACAGCAATATATCAACCACCTGCAAAAAGAAAAGTGGAGAATGTTACTTTAATTTAAAACTTATGGGTTCAAGATTTTAGCACTTTAAATTAATGGATTCTAAATTAATAATTTATACATATTAAATAAACTTTTTTAAGACAAATACAATGTTTGGACCAAAATTACTGGTTTCAACCGAACCCGAATCTCGATCTCCAGCTCCGGCCCACTTTAATTGACTTGCTATGTTCAGGAATCTTCGAGTGGATTGTGCAATGTGACTATAAAGAATCTTAAGAAACAGTAAACAATCTTTTTCCCCCTCTCTTTTCAGCACAAACAGAGATTTTAGTATATAAACCAAGAAATATATGTCTATAGGCTACATATATATATATATATGTTAGAAAGAATTTAAGTTATATAGACGGACCGTATTAGCATAATTTTGCTTGGATTATTTACCATTTATTCAAGATTATATATCAATGCTATTATCTAAAATTACCAACAATTACCATTTAATTAGCCTGATTGTATGCAAATATTTTTAAAGAATTAATAGTAAAATGGGATTAAAGATTGTACCTTTAGTTAGCTCATCATCAGCATCATGATATTCTACCTCCTCCTCCGGCACAGGTGGCAGCTCAGCCTCAACCACCGCCTTCTTCTCCACTCCTCCGCCGTCATTCTCATCTTCTTGTGGGTACCTAACTACAACCACTGGACAGATACAATTGTGAACGCAATAATCACTAACACTCCCAAGTTTCCCTTTACTAACAAATTCACTACTCGTCGCCCCAAATCCTCTGCTTCCCATAATCATAGCACTCAATCCCAGCCTCTCCACTTCCAAACAAAGCCTTTCTTTCATATCACGGTCTTTCACTATATGGATTTTGTATGGCACGTTGGCTTCCACTAGAGGTACGGCCAATTGGGTAGCTTTCGTGTTCGTTAAATTATCGTAATCTTGTTCTATTTTTTGTTGCTTGTTACTTGGGGAGAAGCCCCAGTCTGCGCCGTAGAGGACGGAAGTTGGTCGGACGTGGAGGAGAATGACGGCGTCTCCGGGGCGGAGGTAGTTCTGTACGGCCCATTTGACGGCATAAGCACTCTCGTCGCTCAGATCGACGGCAATGGCGACGCGGCGGTTGGCGGCGGCGGAGGTGGCGGAAAGTGGGAAGTGCAGGGAAACGGGTTTGAGTTGAGAATTATGGGTTGGTTTTGATGGTTGAGTTGTCATGGAGGATGGTGGGTAGTTTTACAAGGTTTGGTCGTAGGTAGTTTTCGAGTTTGTTAATGTTGAGTTTTGGTAATTGGTGTAGTACTCCGTACTTACTAGCGGTAGACGGTAGTACACTTCCTCAAGAAAATTAAAGTTGAGGTCCAAAATAAAAGCCAAATACTATCTCTTCATCCTATGATAGTCTTTTATCAATACTAGTATCAGGTGAGCGCTTTGCGCGTGTACCCTATATCAATGAATATATAATTTTTTTAAGATATAAATTTTTTTTAAATAATATGAGTTATTGAATAAAAAAAATAAAAAGTATAAGTTCTTAAATATGATGAACATTGATCCTTTTTAGCCCGTTAGCTCGATAAATAAATAATAATATAAAATCTTAAAAAATACTCTAATATTAGAGTTAATACTTTATAAAAAATAACGTAAATATAGGAAGCTGTCATTTATTAAAATGGTTATAAAAAGAAAGAAAAAAGACTTCATATGTAGGTTATCGTACGAAGATTGTAATCGAATGGTCATATAAAATAAAGGTCACAAAAAATAAGGTAGAAAACCAATGTTTATTGTTATTTTATTATAATCATTCAGATTTTAATTGATAAAGTTATTTTTTTAGACCCTTGAATTATATTAAAAGAGAAACGATAGTTGAAACAATGGTAATATCACAATGAAAGGATATCATAATGGAAGTTTAGCTTTGCTTTGAATGGCAAATACTCACGTTAGTTTTGATTTGATAAATATATTACACGTATAATTCTATATATTAAGATTTTTACATAGTTCAAATAAAAATAAATATAATAAGTAAAATTTTAGCTAATTTTAACGTCCTAAAAGTTAGAAAATAATTAAATGATTATTTTGAGTGGAAAATTAATTTTTAAATTAATTTTCTTGATTTCTTTTTATACTTCTTATATTTGTCGAAGGATATTTAACAATGGAATTGTAGCTTTTCTTTGGATGGAAAATTACTCAAGTTAGGTTTGATAATTAATGTGTTACATGTTGCCAAATATTATGACTTTTTACATATATACTTCAAAAAAGGATTAAGAAAAGATATAATATAGCATTACTCGTGTGTGGAAAACTTTCTCTTTCTAGAATGAATTCTCCTCTCAGGTAACACTGAAATGACGAGAAGAACGAAGAATGGAGGGGGAGGGCAACAACGTATGGTAGAAAACTCCAACAATCAAGCGCGAAGATTTGGAATTCCACAATCAGCAGATGCAAAGAAGACGAGGAACATCAATGCAATCCAAGGAATTGTGCCCATTAGGTTTCAGTCAAGGAACATCAACGATGCCAATTGCACATGCAGAGCATGCAATTGACGGGATGAAGACCCCATTGAATCCGGCAGTAACTCTGGCGATCCATTCAGGTGGATCCCGGGCGGATAGAGTGGAGGCGGAAATGACGGAGATAAATGCAGCTAACAAGGTACAATTGATCACGTTAACTAATTCATGGAGTAAAATTGTGGGCACAACACCAAGTAGTGAAGGCTTAGACCTAAATAGCGAGATTATAACATGGGAAAATGTAAAAATTACCATGGAGGATATTAAGGATGAACTCGTGTACTGGAAAACAGCAGTGATTTGCTATGTACTGGGATCAAATCCACCATTGACTGTAATTGATGGATATTTTAGAAGAATATGGGGAGGGTTAAGGATAGATAAAATTGCACAAATCAACAGAGGTGTGTTTTTGATTAGATTTCACACTGTCGAAAGTAGAACTCAAGTCATCGAAGACGGAGTCCAGATGTTTGATAAAAAGCCTATTGTAGTGAAGCCTTGGGAACCAGATGTGGATGTCAGTAAGGAAAATGTAGACAAAATTCCAGTGTGGATAAGGCTGAGAGGCTTGGATATCAAGTATTGGGGGAAGAATGCATTAAACAAAATAGCTGGATTGATTGGGAAGCCATTAAAAGCAGATAGAGCTACTACAAACAAGGAGAGATTAGCATTTGCAAGAGTGCTTGTGGAAGTTTCTATAAATCAGCAATACCCTAAGCAGGTTATGTTTGAGAATGAGGTGGGGAGAATAGTAAAGCAAGAGGTGTACTATGAATGGAAGCCAACATTGTATCCTGATCACGCCCAACTCTAGTCCTAAAAAGGATAAGCGGTCGCTGCAAATATAATCCGGTCTAAAAGTCCGAGTCGAATCCCACAGAGAACTAAGGCTTAGCTGTATCTGTTTAATATCACCAAGAAGACAAGATTGAAAATAAATAAACAGCTGAAAACTAACTATGCTTGAATTGTAAACAATTAGAATAAAGGTCTAAGGTAATGGTTTCCCCCGTTGTTGATTTCCTTGGTTGTATGTTTCTTATAACGTTGACTTAGTTGCCTCTATCAATCATGAACTCTCCAGCTATCATAAATCTCTCTCAAGCAATTATGACAATTTACTAGACGCACTCTCTCAAGTTACGCTAGCTGGATTCGCATTACAGTTCACTTAGATCGCACCCGAGGTATCGTTATCTCTAATCCAACCTCTAAACCCTCGGTTATGACTCTCGCCTATACTCCGGGAGTGATGTTGTTCAAACAACTACCTAAATATGCACTCTCTCTCAAGCAGATACATAATAAATAGGAACGGCTAATTGAGGATCCTTTCAATTAACCACAATCAAAACATAGTTGAACAAATAGAGATTAAACTAAGTCAAATCTATATTACTTATAACAACCAATTCATCCCCAACGGGTTTCACCAAAACCTTAGATTAGAAAAGTTAGCTACTCATGAAAATAACAAAAATTACAAAAGAATTCATATTCAAAGATAAAAGAACAAAGAAGAAGATTAAAGATTGATGCCCAATGATCCTCCTTGCCTCTTGCCCTTTCTTCTGATGTTTTTCACTTCCAAAAATCATTCTCTCCTTTCTTGGCCGGCTTCCTTCGTTTAATATAGGGTTTTGGGCTTAAAATCCCGTGTTTTGTACTTTAGTCCTTGAAATTTACGCGTCCTGCCGCGGTCCTACCGCGGTTACGCCAGGACCACGGCCAGAGTGGCCTTCAGAATCTGCAACAGTGTTCTGCCGCGTCAGGTCCGCAGTTGCAGTTTCAATCGCGTTTTTGACCCTGTTCCGCTTGGAATTTGGAAAAACGTAAAACACAAAAGTTGTAGCCCTTTGAGTTAAATTTCCAACCATACATTTTGGAGCCCAAATGGAGTTCTGAGCAAAAAGTTATGTGCATTTTACTATACAGTGCGCAATATGCCTACTCGAGTCTTCGTTTTGTTGTTTTATCATCCGTTGATCCCCGAATACGATCCCGGCTTAATTCCTTGGGCTCTTACTCAGACTTCAAAGTTCCAAATCACTTGAATTCATTCCATAATATCTATATATCTCGGAATCACTCCTACACGGCATAAAACACACCGTTAGTGCAAAACACTAGCGATTAAAGTGCAAACTCAATTAAAGTGCAGTAAATTAGAGTGTAATAAGCGACTAAAATACGTAATTATAGCCTATCATCAACCCCCCACACTTAAACCATTGCTCGTCCTCGAGCAATCAAACTACAATTTTTTATAGACACGACCTTTTTAAACAATTCTCCTAACTCATCACACCAAGAGTATTTAAAATAGACTAAGCACAAAAGCGTAACATCTTCACCTCAAGATTTGACTCACAAGTTCCACACGTTATTCACAACTCACCCACTTACTCTAATATAGAGGTCACTGACATTACCTTTCCTTCATGAATCAAGTGCCCTCACACAACAAAAGAGAGTAGTTCCACACAATAAAATTTATGAACACTTAGGAACTCAAGATAGAAAGAATTCACCCACTCTCAGAAATAATATTCATATGCCACAAAAGATGCACCATAAGCTTGCCCGTAGTTTACTACTCCACTAATCGAGCTCATTCAATCTAGGATCAATTAGGACTTTATTTGGTTGTAATGTAGGCTACGGGACGGGTAGGATATATTTAGATATAAGAGTGACTACACCTCCCTAAGCACTTTAATACATATACTTTAACATTCAAACCCCATACTTATGTCAAACCAAAATTCCACCTTCACATCAATGTATATTACCCCATACTTCTTTAAGCACAATTACAGCAAGAGTCACCACTTATTAAAGAAATACTTTTTTATTTTTTTCACAATAATCCAACTATATTTTTTTTCAATTCAAGTGGCTCTTCCTTTTTCAAAACAGTGCACCTTTCTCCTTATTCAATTAGTTCCACTCAAAAGCCAAACCAACCACCCCACACTTTAACTTTTACAAAGTTCATAACAATTCAAGTGCTCATGAGAGGTGAAAAGGTTCAAATAGATAGTCCATTCAAACAATTGGGTAAGACTTGTAATGTGGTTGCCAAAGAAACAGGATTACAGGCTCAAAGGGGTTAACTACGATACATAACAATTAGGCGGGTAAAATATACATATCTGGCTCAACAAAGAAATGCCTATATCACTTCCTAGACTGAATAAAACTACTATTTCGCTTTGCAAACACACGGGGCAAGTTCTAGGCATCAAATGCAATGCACAGAATATAACAAATCCTTACACACACATGGCGCATAACTCACTCAGGATTGGTTTCATCAAGACACTCTAGTCAAAGCAGTTAAGCAAAGTTAAGATCATACAATTTAAGGTACTTATACAAGAGTCAAAAACTGAGCCTAAGCGTCACAGCCAAAGTACTCACTATTCTCAAGGCATAACCAAGTCAAGAGATATTGCTTCAATTCAAAACACAACACAATGGCTCCTACTCCCAAAAAAAAATTAACTACACCCGGTTCAAATAAAACCCTTGGAAAAGAACCGCGGCACAAAGAAAAACCAAGGGGGAATTGTTACACTACCTACAAAGAAAATCTTTTTGTTTTTCTTTAGACTTAAATCCCTCAAGAAAATTGTCTAATAGATCCATCGTCGGGAAAAGTCCAATCTTTAAAAAAAAAAACTATTTAATTAAACTAATACAACTAAAGTAGAATGAAAAGTCACCCAGACAATCTCATCACCGGACACTTAAAATTGTGCATTGTCCCCAATGCACACCATAACTAATAAAAGGGTAAA